ATAAAAAATGTAAACAGTTGACAGAGAGAGTGCTCGTGTATGAGTGAGAGAGGTGACTGAGGAGTGTGCAACGTGCGTAAACTCGAATGCATTAGGTCGTCCACATACTTTAAAATACTATTATAGAGACCAAAGTTTCAATTTAGAAAACGAAATACTTTTTGGGTCCTTTTTGGTACTTAACAAATTCCGTGATGAAATACCGTCAATAAATTAAATATTTAGTATAGAATAGAAATCATTTATTCAAATAAACTTACATTGAAGCACTTTTGAATAGTCATTACATTTTTTTTAATCTACCGCTATTAATAATCATAACACCCTGGACTATTTATACAACGTCATCTAGTCCCAAGGTAAACAGAGTTTGTGTACTAAACAGTTGATATAAACATTTAAATATTTACTTTTATAAATACATATACATGGAAAACACCCAGACCATACAAATAATCATATTTAAGAATACAAATGTTTTACTGTGCGAGGAATCGAACCCGAGGCCAGCATGTTCCGCTAGACCACCAATGTAGTCGAGGCATATATATTAACTTGATAGTGTTAAAAAAAAGTAAACTTTAAAAAAACGAGATATTTTCCATAGTAATATAATTAAATAATATTAAAGAGTTTCCGTTACTTTTAATATTAAAAACAAATAACAAAAATTATTAATAAAAAAAAATTTTATTACTTTCTTGCCAGTTCGGTAGGAACAGAAATTAACTCTTGCATAAGTGGTCAAAAATAAATATGTATAAACAATTTTAATTTCATTTGAACCAAACTTATTTACCTTTTAAACGAAATGATGTTAAGAAATAATGCAAACAATTTTCACCATTTATAAAAAAAAAACTGCCACCGAGTATGCCAAGTGCCATATGGACATGTCAAGTGTTGCATTTACTACGATGATCGATCCCCCATCGATTTCAAATGTGGATCGAAATTACGACAACCTGAGCCGATTCTCAAACCTCTAGCTGTGCTCGCAGATTAAAGTCATATCGGTCATGCAGGAGGTGGCTTTCAGTCGCTCCATAAGTCCTTTCGAGGGTTTAAAATGCCATCTGCTCTCGCCCCTATCGTTCGATGAAGCTGTAAACGCCAGCTACGGTCAATAGCATTAGAATAGTTCGAGAAAAAACGTTGGGAATTCCTGAGACACCACCATATGAGACACCACCTAAGACGCCCCTCCTCTATACTCATTTAGAACAATAGTCTTTAAGGAATATTGTTATTAGTGTTTGTTAACGCCTGCATGTTTGTTAAAGGCAATACTCATATTCGTAACGGACAGTAGCGTACTTTTGTTTTATACCACCGTCATAAAAAATTTATCATATTGTCTGTGACTTAAGTGAAGTAACATTCTTTTACATCACGCTAAGAAATATTATTGTAAAAAGGGAAATATACGTTCCATTCAAGATAATTAATTTTATTTATATCAAGAAATACAAAACCTAACATCTGGCGACCGTGACAGGACTACATGTTTGTTAAAGGCAATATTCAGTATTTCTATATTATTGATGTTTTTTATGTTATAAATTCATAATTTTGTATGTTGCGACAAACTAAAGTTAAAAATGAGGTAGTCTATAGTTCTAATTATGAGATCGATTACAATGTTTGCGGCGACCCTATTTATTGTCTCTGGTACAGTCAGAAAGCAGGTGAGTGACGTTTTAATATACGGAGCGGCAACGTCGCTTTTTATTGTGTGCCATTCTACGTTTTCACAATCGCATACGCATGCTGCTCTCTCGCTCTACTTTATGTGTTGCTAGAATGAAATATTACAATCTAATCTGATTATTTTCGTAAGTGTTGTGTATATTATAGTATAATTTGTAATTCAAGCATTTGAAAAATATATTGGAATTATTAAATTAATTTAAAATCTCTGTTAAAATAATATATTTATCGAGCAAAGCCTAACTCACTACTACACTACTACACTACTTAAATGACAAACATATATATGGCAATAGCTTTGCATGCACGGAATTTTTTTATGTATGATAATGTAATGGCGCACCTGGCGCTAACGGTTTACACTGGTGGGGCACCAGTGGAGAATAAGATGAGCATGAGATCAGGTCCTAACTGACCTGATCTCATGCTCATCTTATGACATCGTAACAAATTCACCAAGAATTTATCACGATAGTATCCAGGGGGTACCATGTCAGATTGACCTCCACGCGGTTCGTGGAGGTCAATCTGACATGGTACATTGCTAGCAGTAATATCATCAGTCCCCATTACTACCAGTCCCCTTTCCCCCTTAGACATAGACACCAATATAGTAGACAACAGGATATTTTGTCAAAAACCAGTTTTTTTACATTAAATAAACCGGCTTTTAAAAAAAACACTTGAATCTGTTGTATACTGTATACTAAAAAACAGGTAATACAAAAATTTTACCTTCAAAAGGGGCTGAAGTGTCCTACAGGAATAAATAATTTATGATTTTATTAGGGAACGGTGGGACGGGAGATCATTGGTAGGAATGTGGACTAATAACTAGTAATTCCTTCTCTAAACCATAAAGTAGTAGTTCCTAAGTAGTTCCTCCAGTAAACCATAGTGTTTAATTCATGTTATGTAAAAAAGCCTATTATAGGATATATGAATTTATAGATGATAGCAATATATAGCAAGTATAAGTTTATTTGCGGACAACGTTATAATTTATTTTTCATACTGCTTTCTTGATGATAGCGTAGCGGCTTTTGTATTGATTGCCGCATGCATCCTCATGTAAAGTGCGAATACTGTAACTACCATATAGTGATTTTTGTAGCTGTGACGTGGTCGAGTGGAATGAGTAGTCATGCTCACTAAAATGTCCAGACATAAAATATGGTCGAGCGCAGTGATGGCTGGCTCATCCGTCATACTCGTGAACGAGTGCTGCTTGTAGGGACTGGTCTGCTCTTATCACTACGACTGATTTAATCTTATTGTGTTTTTATATTTGAGCCTAAATAAATTAGTGCTGGTTGGTAGTTTGTATTCACACGTTTCGACTTGTAAAATGTGAACTTACAAGGATTGTTTAAACGAGCAACACACAAGTTTCTTGCTTATTCTTCTTGTGATGAGACAGCTTTCCTAATAAGCGGTAGATTTAAAAAAATGTTGACTATTCAAAAGTGCTTAAATTAAGTTTATTTGAATAAATGATTTTCTATTCTATTCTATTCATGGTTCATCACGACTGCAAACTGACCTGACCTCATGCCCATCTTGTCACTCTCCACTAATGCCCCGCCATCGTGAACCGTTAGCGCAGGCGGGGGCACCATTCCATCATCATCATCTGCTTCCTTATCCCATTTATTTGTGGTCGGCGTAATATGTTTTTCTCTTCCATTCATCCCTGTTCGCAGTCATCTCGTTATTTACTCCCTTTCTGACCATCTTTCACACAGTCCATCCATCTCTATTTCGGTCTTTCTCTGCCCTTATAACCATCCACATTCATATAACACCTTCCTTAAAATATTATCTTCATTCCTACACATTACATGTCCATTCCACGACATACGATTAATCTTCAGCTTCTCCGACACCGGCGCCACTTTCATACTTCCTCTAATATTCTTCATCTTGTCCATGCTTCTCACACCACACTTCCATCTCAACAATTTCCCTTAAGTTTTTTATTGTATCCATTAAAAAATATATTTCATTACTCATTCCATTATTATTCAATAAAAAAAATATTATAATAGTTTGTTTAAGTTTGGCTTGTAACCCTGAGTAATTACTTCTATCAATTTTACCATTAAATTTAAAATCGCCTACTTATATCTCAGTCTAAAAGTAATTGCTCATTTCTCTCAACTTAAAATATAAAGAAAATATTTTGCCCATAAGTCCAGCTTCAAGCTACTGTACTAAAAAACAATGTAGTGTACTAAAAAATAATTTTTGGTAAGTTACTTCGAAAGTTTGCTCATTCAATGTGAATTTCATAATGGTATAACAATTGCTAGATTAGTTCTAACATAAAACAATAAAAAAAAAACAATTTACTGGAAAGTAAAGTAAAGTAAAATAAAGTAAAGTAAAGTAAATTTAATTTATAAAACATATTGTGACTTGAGAATATTCATCTCAAGTCACAATATGTTTTATTTCTTTCTTTCTTACATTTATATAGATAGATAATAGTTTTTATTTGTATCTTAGTACACACATATAGGCTTAATTATAACATCAAATGACAAGGACCTACAATATAACAATTCAATAAAGGTAAACCTGCATGTGTGTGCTACAGCAATACAAATAATACATATATTATATACATATGTATATATATGTATATGAATAAAGAAATCTGGTTGTGGGTGATAAAAGAAACCAGGGAATTGTCGTAGTATTTTTATTTATTTATTTATTCATGAACAATGTACATTGTATTTAAATGTTGATATGTTGGTTGTTATATAATAGATCGATAAAATTTATAAATTTACAAATTGTCATAAGAAAGTCATTAATAATAAAAATAAAAAAAATATATAATGTATATCTATACATATAAATAAAATTGGAGTGTCTGTTTGTAATTTTGAAAAAACCGTTTTTTACTACATGCATATGAATATAAATACGGTACATACACTAAAATAACATTTTTTACAATTGTTGTCTATCTGTCTGTTTGTTCCGGCTAATCTCTGAAATGGCTGGACCGATTTTGACGGGACTTTTATTGGCAGGTAGCTGATGTAACAAGGAGTAACTTAGGCTACTTTTATTATAGAAAAAAGTTAAATTCCACACGGACGAAGTCGCAGGAACAGCTGGGTATTTATATTGTTAACCGGGTCTTAACACGAACTAATTTTATGGCAATAAAGGTATTTACGTCTCACGACGTTTCGACTAGGTTGCACTAGTTGTGGTCATGAGTTGACGTGGTCAGTCGTGTTAAGACCCGGTTAATAATATGCACACTTATAAAATCAGCTGGTTAACCTAGTTCTGTAGTAAGCTCTGGAGAGACGGGCGCTGACCGCTATCCCCTCCCAGGTCTCGAAATTGATGTGGTTGATGAACTCTGGTGGCACCACGAATCCATGCCCATACCCGGGCAGCTCCAGGGTATAGGAAAATGGTATACCTACATGCTGAAAACATAAATATATATCTTTAAATAAAAAAAACGTATCAAAATATCTCCATTCATCATCATCATCTTGGAAGACGTCCACTGCTGGACATAGGCCTCCCCCAAAGATCTCCACGACGATCGGTCCTGCTCTGCTCGCATCCATCGCCTTCCGACGATCTTGACCAGATCGTCGCGGCTCGCCCTCCAACGAACTTGACCAGATCGTCGGTCCACTAACTCATATATCTCCATTTATATATATCAACTAGCTGTTCCCGCGAATGCGTCTGCGTGGAATTCAACTTTATTTTTCTAAAATAAAAGTAGTGTAAGTTACTCCATATTACATCAGCTACCAATAAATGCCCCGTCAAAATCGGTCCAGCCATTTCAGAGATTAGCTGGAACAAACAGACAGACGGACTTAAAAAACCCCATGCTGTAGTCTCGTGAGAAAACCTCGGCAGGTAGTTCATTCCACAATGTAAGTGGACGCGGGAGGAAGCTCCTCTGAAACCGCACTGTCCGAAACCACTCAGGTTCCAGGGTAAGTAGTCAGCCAGTATCCAGTTCAAATCATAGTTTCCAACTAGAAAAAATTACAGAAAGCTCTGCTCTTTATACGAGACTTTCTTATTTACTTTCTTATTACAAGGAATCAAACCCGCAACAATCAAAACTAAAGAGATGTGCTAAACCACTAAACCACTAAGCCCGTCTTATAACTTACATGTGTATACTTCCTTCATAATTTAAGAGCTACGCTCTTGTCGGTGGAGCTCTCGCCACTTTCCGCGATCTTCCATCATGCTCTTTAATTCTTGATACGACACGACTCCCATTTTGTCCTCAACTTGTTTGATGTAGCTATTCCTTGGTCTTCCCCTCCCCCTCTTTCCTTCTATTTTCCCCTCAATAATAATTTTCATGAAATCATCGTGCCGTATCAAGTGTCCTAACATTTTTCCTCGTCTATTTGAATGTGAACACAATAGAAAAAAGTAGACGAGGAAAAATGTGTATACTAAGATACAAAAAAACCTATCTACCTGGCCGTAGTCCTGAGCGCTTCCAGAAGTTTGATAAAGAATCAACCCACTGTTACCCACTCTGTAGAACCCTGCCTGAGGCAGTTTATTGGCGTCTATTGCTGCTCCCATGGCTGAGCCCACATGGAATATCTGCAACACCATGACAAAACTTAACATCCTTAACACTATATAGGTAACTAACTTTTACCCGCGGCTTCACTCGCATTGTATCCATTAAATAATTCCATCACTGGCTTCTAGATGGCGCTGAAGTAGCAAAGTGTTGATATTTTATATTATTGTTTTTTTTTTTAATAAAAAAAGTATCCTATGTTCATTCTAATAACTCCAAGAACATGTGTACAAAATTTCATGATGATCGGTTCAGTAGGTTTTGCGTAAAAGCGTAACAAATATCTCTTTCACATTTAGAATATTAGTAAGAATTCATGAAGTATCCATTCATATTACACTACAATACAGGATAGAGTCAAAGTTAAACCGATTTAATCATAATAATATCAGGACAATTCACATAGCGCCATCTAGACCCAAGTTAAGCTAGCTAAAGCTTGTGTAATGGGTACTAGATAACTGATACAAGTATATAGATATATAATTTCTTTTCGTCACATTATCACTGGCAATGATAATGTGACGAAAGTGTCGTAAAGGAAGTGGATTCGTTACGACAACCCCAAGCGCAAAAAGTTTAGGGTCCTGCCAGCTATCATCCTTCGCAAAGCCGAATATTCCTGGCTTGTAGCTTATGCTCTGTATTTGGTGGGACCAGCGGCGTGAGTTGCTAAAGCCGAATGAAATAATCACGGGGGAATGCTGTCGGATATAAGTCATGAGAATAAGCGTCGCACTGAGTCAAAAACGGCCGGTATTCGAAGAAAGGCACGATAAAGTGCAAGAAAAAGCTAGAGACAAAGTGATTTTGCAGCAAGAAAAAGCTCGGCCAAATGTTGCAAAGCCGATGAAAATCTACCTAAAAACTTTGAAATGGGAAGTCCTACCACACTCGCCGTATTCTCCAGACATTGCTTCTTCGGACTTTTACTTATTCTGGTCGACAATACATGGGTCTGTCCCAATAGAAGTTCACTTCATATGAACAATGCAAAAAATGGGTAGATGATTGCATTGCCTCAAAAGACGAATCGTTTTATCGAGCTGGCATCCGAAAATTGCCAGAAAGATGGAAGAAAGTAGTGGCCAGGGATGGACAATATTTGGATTAATATATTTGTAACAAATATTTGAAAAAAAAATCCGTATATTTCGAATAAAAACGCTCATTATTAATTCAATTGCCCTATATATTGTTCATTGTTAAAATGTATATAAATTAACTAAATTTCAAAACATCTGTTAAATCATATTTATTGAGCAAAGCCTATTACTCACTATACGATTACTTGAATGACGAGCGAGCATGGCAATGATTGTTCATGCACGGGATTTTTAATTTAATGTTAGACATAGATATTTATATAAATATACACTGATACACAGTAAATAAACTGGTTTCTAAAAAAGTAATTCAATTGAGTTTCTTGCCAATTCTTCTCATTTGGATTTATATACTGAACTGGACGGTAGGGGAAAAAATTTAAATTATGTAAATAATTTGACGTTCATAAGCGGCTAAAATGTCCTACATGAATAAACGATTTTTGAATTTGAATTTGTATATATATTTTTTATTGGTGGTTCATGGATCTTTTTGTGTTTTTTGTAATGGTCAAATTTCGACCACTGGTTTATCACTAGTTATTACTAGTCTTTCTTAAATGACTTTCGTACTAACCTGCACAGAATTTTCCGGTACCGTTCGATTTCCATAACCGTATAATATATAATAACCGTGACTGTGGATATTCATGTACAACTGTATTCGCTCTACGTATTCGAGCATTATGTCTCTAATGATTCTTGTCTCTGGCTCTGAGAAGGCTTCATGGCTGGGGTAAGTATCACTGCAGGGGCTGTTCGACACCCCTAAAGTATTGAAAGCTACATCGAAGTTTCTGTTAGCATCGACCCCGTAACAGGTACTATTGATTTCGGGGTAGTAAGATCGAGTCCTGCGCCATAGACGCATCTGAAAGAAACATTATAATAATAATAACCCTGGACAATTTACACAGCGCCATCTAGTCCCAAGCTAAGCAGAGCTTGTGTTTTGGGTACTAGACTACTGATATAAATACTTAAACACCTTTTTTTAAATACATCTGTAAGTATATTAATATTTTAAAGAGGTAAAGTTTGTATGTTTGTTTGACCGGTGTCTGCTGATCTGATTTAAAAAATTCTTTCACTGTCAGGAAGGTATATTATCTGCGAGTACTATGGAGTATATAACATCACAGTAGGACCAATAGGAGCGGAACAGCAATGAAAAATGTGGCAAAAAGGTGAGATTGCGGTCAAACGCGCTCAAATTTTAATATAAAAAAAATATTCATTATGAGTGCTTCCTGCGTGCGCTGCATAACCGGTTACGTAAAAATATCTATGACAGAATTGTTCTCCTTTAAAAATTCTAAAAAAGATCTGTGACAATGTCTATCTTTTAAGATTAACTCACTGTAACATTTTTTATAATAATCAGATTTCTTCTAAAATTATGCATTATTTGCGTAGGTGTTTTTATAATCATCATCATCATCTCAGCCCGGAAGACGTCCACTGCTGAACAAAGGCCTACTCCAAAGATCTCCACGACGATTGGTTATGCGCTGCTCGGATCCATCGCCTTCCAGGGATCTTGACCAGATCGTCGGTCCACCTTGCTGGAGGCCTTCCCACGCTGCACCTCCTGATCCGTCTCCACTCGAGGACTTTATTACCCCAATTTTTTATACACATGATATTAATCCGTATCCAAATAATTACGCCAAATTCAAACAATAAAAGGCCCGTGCAAAGTCAAGTGGGTTGTTAGTAGTATTATAAAAATAAAATAGTGAAGTATATGAGTTTGCATGTACGGGATAATGATCCGATTCGAAATTCTTTTAGTTCAGGCTAGACTAATAAACGCAGATGAAATTGCGCGGGTCGGCATGTGTTTTTTTAAACTTACATTCGTATGAGTGTACTCAAAGCCATCAGGGTTTACTATAGGCAATATAATCCAGTCAATGTCTTCTCTCAGATCTCTATCTTCATCTCTTAAGTCTTCCACCAGCCGATAAATGGAGTACAGCGCCACTGGTGTAGTAACCCATTCTCGAGCATGAATTGTTGCATCCATGAAATAAATTGGCTTACTAGGGTCTGTGAAGTTAGTCGTTGAAATCTGTAATAGTTTAATAATGATTGTTAGTGATTGATGTGGACTGATGAGCATAGATATCACCCTGGCAATGGGTGCCAGGGTGATATCTATGCAATTCCCTTTGGAAACCATCATGATGAATCTTATAAAATTTCATAAAAATCGGTCAAGTCGTTTTAGAGGAGTATGATTAATAACATTGTGACACGAGAATTTTATATATAAGATGAGTATACCTTAAGGTACTTTATAGAGCGGCCTTCGAAGCTTTGTCCAGCATCAACCACAGTCACCAGGTCGGGATAAGTTGCAGCAATGTTCACCAGATACTCGTCCACCTACAGACAGATTACATTATAAGATTTCTCATTCTATTTATCTTACATATTAAATTTGAATTTTTCGTTTTAATAATCTAATATGTCAGTCTAATACCTATACATTGTAAATAAACTGGTTTTTAAAAAAAAAGTAATTCAATTGAGTTTCTTGCCAGTTCTTCTCAATTGGATCTATATGTATACCGAACTGGACGGTAGGGAAAAAAAATATAATGTAAAAACTTGACTTTCATAAGCGGCTAAAATGTCCTACATGAATAGATGATCTTTGAATTTGAATTTGAAGTAATTATTCTAGATGCATATAGTAAGTCGATTTTAGGAGGTAAAATTATTGAATGAAACACTTGCTTCAGCGTAACGTGGGAAATCTTCGAACACCTTTCTGCCCTGACGAGTTCTCTTCCACGACTCCATTACTGCATCATGCTCTTCGAATGCTCTGGAAATAATCGAAATTTAAATCGTTTTTGCCTCTTCTGTTTATATAATTAGTCACGTACATTTGCTATGATGACAGTGCTATACGTTATCGATAATTATCTTTATCAGGAATGTAGTGCGACGATGATAAGGAATTTACGATTGTATTAATGAATTTGGATTAGAATAATCTTTATAGTTTATTGAATAATTAGACAATCTCTCCGTATACTGTTTGTAATATATGGTTGATTTATTGTGTTTAGAACGATGTACCTATTTTTCTTCTATAACTGGCATTCAAATATGATTTATGGGAAGTGGCAACCATGGCTCAATTGCACCGTGAGGTTATGACATATAATCTTTTTCCTGAGAACTAAGTTTCTTGCCTTCGTATATTAAATTATACTTAATTTCTTAGTATAATTTCACTGCCAAATTTCCTTTTAAACCAAGAACTTAGCTTAGCCAAACGAGAAGCACTAAATCACTGGCAAGAAATGCCAGGATTGACACATTCAAAAGCCCTAATATCGGGCTACTCGAACAAATACTCCAATAGACTACTGCTAATGAGTAAAAACAACATATGCATCATGACTAGTGCCCTCACAGGACACTGCAAGTTGAACAAGCATATGGCTTACCTAGGCCTATGCACGACAAAAATCTGCAGATTCTGCCAAACTGAAGAGGAAATGCCACTACACATCCTAAGTGGTTGTAGCCCACTCATGCATAACGAAATATCTCCCTTGGAAAGTTTACACTCTTTCCCGAGGAGATAAAAACCATCGCTCCTAAGAATATCCTTCAATTCTTGTCCCTGACGGGTCTAGGTAGCGAACTTTGAAGAAGGGCGAGCACAATAGATCTATGTAGGTCGTAGTGCTACAGGTTCAGGTATCTGACAATAGCCCAAACAACCCAATAAAAAAAAACTTAGCTTACAAAGCAAGGTGCATAACGGAAATAGGTGAAACAAAATTACGCAGATAACTTTATATTTTAATGAAAAACCATTTGTTTTGTCGTTGGAAAATTCATTATCACAGCACCATATAATCCCAAGCTTAGCAGAGCTTAAAATACAAGTACCAGATATTTTTTTAAATATACTTAGAAAACACAGTTCGATACAAAGAATCATACTCGTGAATACAAATTCTTATATACTGCGAGAAATCGAAACTTTGGCCATCGGAAAACCGTGTAAAGCAGCGTGCTAAACCGGAAGACTAAAGAGACCGTAATAAACGAGACATCACGGACAGGTAATAGGACTTTTAATATTTAAAGTCGACAATGTGATGCTACTACATTTACTAGAACTACATTTTAGTTTAGATAAAAGGTTACTTTATTTAATTATAAAGACAACAATACTAAACTAATTATATCATTTACATAACTTAATTTTACAACTACAACCTAAAATTTAAAAGCTTAAAAAATATAATACAATAACTAAAATATATCATTAAGAGGGGTCCCTTTAAATAAAGTTCCGAAGATACTGGCAGCGTTCCCTCTTTGAATAGCTAGACTAATTCTTTGTCCAAGGTAGCTGCCAGCTCTTACTTATGTAGATTGTTTAACCAGTTGTTGTGTATTCAATATTTTTTCTATTTGATTATTTAATTGAATTAGTGCTAATCGGTAGTTTGTATTACACTTAAATTGTAAAGTAAGAATAAAATTATTTAAAAGAGCAACACACAAGTTTCTTGCTCGTTCTTCTTGTGATAAGACTTTCCGAATGAGCGGTAGATTAAAGAAAATGTGATGACTATTCAAAAGTGCTTCAATGTAAGTTTCTTTAAATAAATGATTTTCTATTCTACTTAAATTTAACTTAAAAAAACTTACGTTGCAACGTCTTCTAAGTAAACAGCGTGTGGTATTAGGTTTGCATCTAAATTTTCTAAAAATATATTTTTGTCTTCTGGCGAAACCATAACGATGCTATCCACGTCTCCAGGGTATCCATGTTGCCACACATCTAAGTCTAAGCTGGACTCCAAGTCGTGAAGTAAGTCCTGATCAGACCTATCACGGAGTGATACTTTATGGGCAGAGTATCTGGAATTGAATGTAAGTGTAATTATTACTTACTTGGTTGATTTATATGATACTGCAGTTTTAGCCAGAGGTACACCAGCGAAATCTTTCTATAATTTTTTAAAAGATCTTGGTATGTCCAAAACTGCAAGAACTTTTATACAAGAATCAGTATCTAAAGCTGCACTACTTATTGCCAGCTGGCCTTTACAATTTCACGGACGGACATTAGGGGACGAGTGCAGACGGCACTCCAAACTTACTGAGGACTTATGGACCGGTTTGAAGTCTAACTCCCGCCTGACCAACTTTTTTTTTTTATAACACAGGGGACAAACGAGCATTCGGCTCACCTGATGGTAAGTGATTACCGCCGCCCATGAGCACCCGCAACACCAGGGGAATTGCAAGTACGTTGTCGGCCTTTTAAAAAGGAATAAGCTCTTTTCTTGAAGGTTTCAATATCGTATCGGTTCGGAAATACCATTGCTGGAAGGTGATTCCACAATGTGGTTGTGCGAAGCAAAAAGTTTCTAGAAAACCGCACTGTGGAAGACCGCCATCCATCTAAATGATCAGGATGGTATTTCAGTTTCTGGCGGGTGGTACGGTGGTGCAACTCAGCAGCTGGTATTAATCCGAACAATTCCTCAGAACACTCGCCGTGATATATGCGGTAGAAAATGCACAGAGATGCCATATCACGCCGCAAAGCCAATGGGTCGAGTCTGTCACATAGACGTTGATTACCAATGATTCTGACTTTAATCTGAGGGGAACGCTAGGGGTTCAAATATTGGCTTAAGCCATCCTAATTGCGATCCCCGTTTGAATTGGACGGAGGATCTATCGAAGGGGCGTCTGGGAGCACGCGCGTCCGGGAGCCTACTAGTGCACCAGGCACTAGTAGGCTCCTTACAGATTTTGTTAACGTTAATTAAAAAATTGTCCGTTTGTCTGTCTGTCTGATAACAAATATATAAATATAAATATTTAGTAAGACTCACAACTATACAGTACAGCAAGCAAATAAATAAATTATTATACTATTTTACCATTAAATATACAAAAAACAACAATAAAACTAAAACGATTTCTAATTCTATCCAAAGGTTAGCTGATAGAGAATGCTATATGGCATTAAGATCGCCTCTTGTATACTCTATAGTGCAATCTATACATATAAATAAAATTGGAGTGTCTATTTGTAATACTGAAATAACCGTTTTTTACTACATGCATATGAATATATATACATATACGGTACAAAACCACATTTTTTACAATTTTTGTCTGTCTGCCTGTCTGTCTGTTCCGACTAGGGTTCATTCCCGGGAAATTCATGGGTTTTGTTCCCGGGAAATCAAGCTCGAGAAAAGTCGAGAACTCGAGAAATCATGTACCTAAATAGAAATTAAATTGCCCTTTGTTTTGTTGCGTGGCGGCGCAATAATTTAAGATATTAACGTTTTTGTTTTCTTTCGTGTTATTTTTTTATTTTGTAGAAACTATTTTTGTTTACATTGTTTTTTTTTTTATCTAAATAAGCAGCCAAAAATGGTGCTATCATTATAGATATAAGTCTAATTAGGTCCTAAAAAATTGAAATTGGCGTTTTGTAAGGGAATAAAAGTAAAGTATTTTTTTTTTACAAAATATATCAAAGTAAATAATATATAAAATATATTTATTTAATCAAAGTATGTACCATTTCTATTTATGCACTTTTGCCTTTTGTTTTTGCATTTTGGACTGCCCCATCGGAGTGTAATTTTTTCCCTTGCAAGAAGTTATCCAAATTTCGAAAAAAAAATGAAATTCCAATTGAAGCTCTTTTAATTTGGTAACTGTCTGTTGTGCACTATGTGGTTAAGCGTTCTTGGCGATTGACCAGCCTCGGTTGTTTAACAGCTAGCTTTTCCATCATGGTTTCTCAAATGCTGACAATACACATTTGCCGTAATCTTCTGACCAGATTTAAAAAAGCCGAAGTGAACAACACCGGAAATAGTCCACGAAACGTTCACAAGTAACATTTTTTGAGCCATATTTCGCTTGGGGTAGGATTTGGTTGGTTGGTCGAAATTTCCAGAACGAAAACGTTAGAACCAAAAATGCACGTGTTTTCTTTTGCGAGACCACTACCATACACATAATTAATACTTCGAGCCGTTTAACACCGTCTAGCACTGGTGCCACAGCGGAACTCGTACTCGTAAATAACGCGATATTTTAAGTTTTTTCATTTAGTATGCTGTGAGTGACCCAAAGTGAATAGCTGTATAAATTTGGAAATGGAATTCCTAACCAAAGAGGAGATATTTGAGATCAAAGTGACCAGTACGACAAAACGCCAATTTCATATGTAAGGATCTAATATTATTTCTCTATTTAAAAAAAAAAAATTCATATGTAATATTAATGTTTTTAAATATACTCAATAAAAGTTTAATTTGATACTTTTATTTGAGAGGAAAACCACTGAATTTTTTGACGTTATTGGAACCAAATAATATGAGAAAACGTACATAAATGTGAATTTCTCGACAACCCGAGAAGACCCGAGAAATTGACCTCGAGAATTCTCGAGACCCGAGAAATTGAAAAGCTCGAGAAATCATGAACCCTAGTTCCGACTAATCTCTGAAATGGCTGGACCGATTTCGACGAATTTTTTTTTTGGCAGGTAGCTAATGTAATAAGGAGTAACTTAGGCTACTTTTATAGTAGAAAAATAAAGTTAATAACAACAGGGAACAGGTATAAAGAATTTAAAAAAAAGTAATGTTTACCCAGTATAAATATCATGTTTCCCAGCGATGACAATACCAAGGCACGATGCGATCACAAGCGTAAATCTTGTAGCACACATATTGCCACTCCATGTACCATTGCTTGTAGACGTATATAATATTTCGTTAGAATACTTTATCGTAAATTGAGTATATCTTATCATAATATACCAAATTATAAGCGTGACATGTCTCCGAGATAAAATTTATGCTCAAGATTTCATCTTTATACTACAAATAACTATTTTATTTACATTTATTACATTTATTACATCACACATCTCAACACAATAAAAACGATGCCGACAGCTGCATATAAATTATTATATAAGATAAACGTAAATAAAAACAATTCATTAAATTAGAGATGAAATCATTATATACAAAGAAAAAAAAAAAAAATAATAAATAAAAGAACAACATAGTAACAAACCAATAATAATAATAAAGTAAAAAATGCATTTCCTATCCACCACTGCGGAGCATCGTCACCGCGTCACTGTGTACTGATGTGTGTGTAAGGGGCCCATCTCAGCATTATGCCATGACAAAAGCCACGACGCTGATTTTCAGTGGAACCCTGAATAAGTGATTCACGGACAAATGTGCATATTCATTCAAATTCAAATTCAAAATATCTTTATTCATGTAGGTTCACCAGTATGACGTATGAGCCAGCCATCATTGCACTCAACCATATTTGAGGGAGCACATCGACCCGGCCCACCACGCCGCCACAAGTTTGAACTTTATAGCGAGCATGACTGTTTCAGGTTACTCCACTACGTCAATTATATTATTTACAGCATAGGCTGTACCGATCACAGTTTTCACCCATTACAATATTTAATTTACAATATGTATATATGTGCCTATATTGTACTTCTTCCATAAACTAAACATTTATTTGACAACCTCGGTGGTCTAGTGGTTTAGCACACCGCTTTACTATCCGATGGTCGTGGGTTCGATTCCTCGCACGGTACAAACATTTGTATTCATGAGTATGATTGTTTTCTATGTATAATATGTATTTATTTAAAAAAAATGTGTCCATGTATTTATATCAGTTGTCTAGTACCCATAACACAAGCTCTGCTTAGCTTGGGACTAGATGGCGCTGTGTGAATTGTCCTGAAATATTATTTTTTTTTTTTCAAAAATTCTCATCTCCTCTCTTAAGGAGAGATGGCAACTTACCCCCGGCAGAAGCACAGTCGGCCGGGGTTCAGGGCCCCAGGGAGAGAAACCGGCGTACAATGCGGGCAGAATCTAACAGCACCGCTTTCTGCATCTTTACCGGGAGTGAGCCGCCCCGGAATCCCAACCGTCTGAGATGTTGTTACTATTATTATTATTATTTATTTGTTGACATTAAAACTAAACAAGTTTTATAGTTTCGCAATATTCTCGCTCAGGAAGATTACATATAGATATGTATATACAAGAAATACATTATAAAAAATTACATACTTTCTTTCTTTCTTTATTCAAATAACGTACAAATATTACAAAATTTATTATACATTAGAACCCGCACTAGGCGAACCTGTATCGCGGGAATCCACAAAAGAATTGCCAAATAATTATTTACTATTACTGATCAGTGAGTTTAACATATCAGACTAATTAAGATTTTTTAGATTAATTTCATAAAAAATACAATTGTTGACTACATAAAAAAAATTAAACAAAATAAACAGAAAATAGAACAAAAAGAAAATTTCAAATTCAACATCGTATTTCTTGCGATGATATGTTAGGCATAGTCCATAAATTATACAAATTACACGATGTCAACATTCTTATTAAATTATTGATTGTTTGGGATTATAGATTATACGTAATACTATTTAAAATTTGTTCAGTGGCGTCATAATCTAATTTTTGTAGGTAATGTTTCACCTTGTGTTTAGCTTCAATCTTGGTAATATCTTGGCAATTTCATTTCCATGGGGATGGGGATGGGGATTTCCACCACCATTCGCTTTATTCGCACGACCAGAAATTTTTTTTTTTAGTTTGTAAAGTTTCGTCCACTATTCTTTCGCCGTTCAGGCTATCAAACTTTGGAAAGACTTACTCCTTGATATCAAGACCGCCACGAGTAAATGTTCTTTAAAACGTTAGTTGCGGGAATATTCCAGCATGTAACTTTTCTATTATGTAGAATAGATTTTTTTCTTTTTGTGTGGCTCATTATTTATTTACTAGCTTTTGCCCGCGGCTTCGCTCGCGTTAATTTATCCCCTTAGGGGTGGAATTTATCAAAATCCTTTGTTTAGAGAATACCTACGTCATGGTAACTTTATGCATGCAATATTATTCCAGCATGTAACTTTTCTATTATGTAGAATAGATTTTTTCTTTTTGTGTGGCTCATTATTTATTTACTAGCTTTTGCCCGCGGCTTCGCTCGCATTAATTTATCCCCTTAGGGGTGGAATTTATCAAAATCCTTTCTTTAGAGGATGCCTACGTTATGGTAACTTTATGCATGCAAAGTCTCAGCCCGATCGGTTTAAAATTGACAAAGTTTCATACAAACTTTCATCCCCTATTTTATCCCCTTGGGGGTAGAATTAATCAAAATCCTTTCTTAACGGATGCCTACGTCATAACATCTACCTGCATGCCAAATTTCAGTCCGATCCGTCCAGTGGTTTGGGCTGTGCGTTGATAGATCACTATGTCAGTCACCTTTGAGTTATATATATTTAGATTTGTACATTTTTTTCTACGTTATAGTTGCTACAATTTTTTTTTTTACGTTATATCTGCTGTTGCTATTTCATTGTCAGACTCTTAAGTTTGTTATATGATATGTATATGGTATATTTAGGTATATATTTTATTTATATTTATCTATAGCTTTATATATGTTGTATATATTTGTATATGTATGTTTACATGTACTTACGTTTAGTAAATATATATCATTTATGATATAGGTATTACTTTTCTTATTGATTACATTTGCACCGCCTACAGTTTCTCTGCTCAACCTGTGGTTGACTGGCAGAAAATGCCGTAAGGCGTTAAGTCCGCCATATGTACTTTTACCTTGGTATTTTGTGTTGGAACTTAAATTTATATCTGGCCGTTATTCTGTAGAAGACAATTTGAATTTTATATAAAGAAAATGTCTTCTATTGTTCGTAAGATTTTCTATTGACATATCGTATGTGAGCCTTGTTACTTTTACCAAAAATATAGATTTTACTTTCTTATTTCACTATATTTACTGCCGCTGCGCATTCTACTCCTACACTTTGTGCATTTAACCAGTTGGTTATATATACCTACAATATTTTTTCTATTTGAGTATTTAATTGAATTAGTGCTAATTGGTGGTTTGTATTTACACACTTAAACTTAAAAATGTAAAGTAATAATAAAATTATTTAAAAGATAAACACCCAAGTTTCTCGCTCGGTCTTCTTGTGATGAGACAGCTTTCCGAATGAGCGGTAGATTAAAAAAAATGTAATGACTATTCAAAAGTGTAAGTTTATTTGAATAAATTATTTTCTATTCTATTCTATTCTATTCTATTGAAGTTATATAAAAATTAAAAACAAAAAAAAAAATGTGACTGTACAAAGGTGTTTATATTAAGTTTATTTGATTAAAGATTATTTCTATTTCTAAATTACACGTGTCAGTGTCTGCAAAAGAAGTTATTGATGATTAAGGCGAATTATGAGACTGATAAGAACGTTTCAGACTACATTGTAATTACAGATAAAATGTTACGATGTAGTAATTGTATCGTTTTATAATAATAATAAACTGATAATAGTAAACTAATATTATGATCCAATAATGATAATTGCAATAAAAACTAGATAGGCCGCACACTTTATAATAACAACTAGCAGTTCCCGTGACTTCGTCCGCGTGGAATTTAACTTTATTTTTCTAAAATAAAAGTAACCTAAGTTACTCCTTATTACATCAGCTACCTACCAATAAAAGTCCCGTCAAAATCGGTCCAGCCATTTCAGAGATTAGCCGGAACAAACAGACAAAAATTACGCGTGGAATTTAACTTTATTTTTCTAAATTGAAAGATTTTTTCTACAATAAAAGTAGCCTAAGTTACTCCTTATTACATCAGCTACCTGCCAATGAAAGTCCCGTCAAAATCGGTCCAACCATTTCAGAGATTAGCCGGAACAGACAGACAGACAAAAATTATAAAAAATGTTATTTTGGTGTGCACATACACCATGCATTTATATTTATATGCATGTAGTCAAAAACGGTTATTTCAATATTACAAACAGACACTCCAATTTTATTTATATGTATACATATATTAGATAAAATAATATGTAAAAAAAAACACATTATATATTAACTTTTTTTTTATATATGGTAATAACATATGGCCTTTAAAAAACAAAAATATTTCAATATTAGTTTATTCTGGCTTTATAGTAAGATCTGGCGACTCGAGCGCTGGCGGCTATCCCCTCCCAGGTTTCGGAGTTGATCTGCTGGATGTACTCTGACGGCACCTGATGTCCATATCCATATCCTGGCAGCTCCAGGGTGTAAGAAAATGGTATACCTACATGCTGAATAAAGAGTTATAAATTAGTAAATAATAATAATAATAAATAAATCACTCCCGGGAAAGATGCAGAAAGCGGTGCTCTTAGATTCTGCCCGCATTGTACGCCGGTTTCTCTCCCTGGGGCCCTGAACCCCGGCCGACTGTGCTTCTGCCGGGGGTATGTTGCCATCTCCTCTCCTTAAGAGGGGAATTTGAATTTTTGGAAAAAAAAAAGTAATAATATCTGCAAAGGAATTATACCAAAACCGCGACCATCGGTCATAAAGCGGTGTGCTTATATATAATATATGTATAAAAAAGTAATAATAATAATAATGTTATGTACTTGGCTTAGGCCCGTACATACCAAGATTACCGGTGAAAGTCGAGAGAACAAAAAAAAAATAAGTTATATAATAAGTACACACACACTCATACATACACACACACACACTCACACCTATAGACACACTCCACTTACTTCGTTTCGGCCCGTAATTGTGGAAAAAAACCAGCACAAGTTGAGAAAAAGCGACAATAATAATAATCTGAGGACAATTCACACAGCGCCATCTAGACCCAAGTTAAGTTATAGTAAGGATTCAGATAAGCTTTGTGTCAGTGGTATATGGTAGTACCCATAGTGTTTGGACTTCATGGCGCCGTCTGAATTGTCCTAGGTTATTATAATTAGTTAAGATTTTAGTTGATTATCTTTTTTTTTATTGGATTGTTTGAGCTATTGTCAAGTGCCAATAGCACCTGTAGCACTGCGACCTACATAGATCTATTGTGCTCGCCCTTTTTTGCAGTTCGCTACCTAAACCCATCAAGACCCATCAAACCTAGAACTAAACATAAAACCTAGACCCATCAAGAATTGAAGGATATTCTTAGGAGCGATGACTTTTATCTCCCAGGGATAGAGTGTAGACTTTCCAAAGGACATATTTCGTTTATGCATGAGTGGGCTACAACTACATAGGATGTGCAGTGGCGTTTCCTCTTCAGTTTGGCAGAATCTACAGATTTTTGTCGTGCATAGGCCTAGTTTAGCCATATGCTTGTTTAATTTGCAGTGTCCTGTGAGTGCCCTACTCATCATGCATATGTTGTTTTTACTCAATAGCAGTAGTCTATTGGAGTATTAGTTTGAGTAGCCCGATATTAGGGCTTTTGAATGTATCAATCCTGGCATAACTTGCCAGTGATTCAGTGCGTTGAGTACCTTACCTGACCATAGTCCTGAGCACTCCCAGAAGAAGGGTAAAGAATCATTGCACTGTTCCCAACCCTATAGAACCCTGCTTGAGGTAATTTATGGGCATCTATAGCTGCACCCATAACAGATCCGACATGAAATATCTGCAATAGAACAGAATAGAAAATAATTCAAATAAACTTAAAGCATTCTGAATAATCATATTTTTTTTGTAATCTACCGCTCATTTGGAAAAAGAAAAGAAATTGAAATATATAAAACTAGCTGTGCCTGCGACTTCGTTCGAGGACGAATGAGGAATTTCCATTTCATTCCCTATTTTATTTTGCCCCCTTAATGGTAAAATTCGTACAAACTTTGAATGTCACATTGATATTTTCTATTCTATTCTATTCTATTCTGATAGTCAAAAGTTTAAAAAATAAGCTTCAAGTTTTAGCCTTAAAAATGACAGTACTTCCATAGAACGTTTCATCCCCCCTTTCAACCCCTTACAACCCTTTCTTTGCATTAAAAAGTAGCCTGTGTCCTTTCTCAGGGTCTAGACTATCTGTTTATCAATTTTTATTTAAATCGGCGCAGTAGTTTTGGTGTGAAAACACAGAATAGACAGAGTTACTTTTGCATTTATAATATTTTAAAATAAGAGAAAGCATATATACTATATCTATTGCTATGTTGTAATATGTTTACACTTTCGGCTGAAAACACTATTTCATTACCAGATTATTAGCTATTTGCATGTACATATATTTTTTTTTTCTTTGTGTACATTTTATACAAATATATACTAGCTGCACCCCCGATTTCGTCCGCGTAGTATTTAACTTTATTTTTCTAAAATAAAAGTAGCCTAAGTTACTCCTTATTACATCCAATGCTACCTGCCAATAAAAGTCCCGTCAAAATCGGCCCAGCCATTAGCCAGAGATTAGCCGGAACAAACAGACAGACAAAAATTGTAAAAAATGTTATTTTGGTGTATGCACCGTATTTATATTCATATGCATGTAGTAAAAAACGATTATATCAATATTACAAACAGACACTCCAATTTTATTTACATGTATGTATAGATGTATACATTAGTAGTAGTCCAAAAAAAAAATTGATTTCTACAATCAAACAATTGCCACTTCCATCACGTGGACCACCGGACTATTTCCATATCGACTAAATTATAAAAAAAAATTGCTCTGTACCTCTACAGAATTGCTCGGTACCGTCCTATCTCCATATCCATACAACACCAAGTATCCTTGACTATGAATATTCAAATATAACTGAATGCGGTCCAAATATTCAAACATGATGTCTCGGACTATCCTCGTCTCTGGCTCGGAGAACGCTTCATGACTAGGGTAAGTATTGCCACAAGGGTCGTTTGACACCCCAACTGTGTTAAAGGAGACATTAAAGTTACGATTCCCATCAACCCCGTAACAAGTCTGGTTGACTTCAGGATAGAATGAACGAGTTCTGCGCCACAATCGATCCTGAAAATGATAAGGTTTTATAATTATTTTTATTTATGCAAAGAAATTAATTAATTCAACGAAGGATATTTTATTTCAAGAAGAGTATATAAGGTTTCTTAAGAGTCAGCAACGCGCACGTGACACCCCTGATGTCTCAGGCGTTCATATGCTACGATGAACATTTATTATCAGATGAGCCGTATGCTTGTTTGCCGACATCTAAATATATATAACTCAAAGGTGACTGACATAGTGATCTATCAACGCACAGCCCAAATCACTGGACGGATCGGGCTGAAATTTGGCATGCAGGTAGATGTTATGACGTAGGCATCCGCTAAGAAAGGATTTTTATTAATTCTACCCCCAAAAGGATAAAATAGGGGATGAAAGTTTGTATGAAACTTTGTCAATTTTAAACCGATCGGGCTGAGACTTTGCATGCATAAAGCTACTTTGACTTAGGCATCCCCTAAGAAAGGATTTTGATGAATTCCATCTCTAAAGGCAAAAACTAACGCGAGCGAACAAAAGCTAGTCTATTATAAAAATCCTTACATCTGTATTATATGATGATACCACACTTTGACCAATAGGAGCGAAGCTGCAATGAAAAATATGACAAAGAGGCAGTAGCACGGGTCGGCTTGTATTTTATGAAACTTACATCTGTATGAGTGTACTCGTAACCATCAGGATTCACTATAGGCAGTACGATCCAGTCAATATCCTCTCTCAGATCTCTATCTACATCTCTTAAGTCTTCCACCAGTCGATAAATGGAGTACAGCGCCACTGGTGTAGTGACCCATTCTCGAGCGTGAATTGTTGCATCCATGAAATAAATAGGCTTACTAGGGTCTGTGAAGTTCGTCGTTGAAATCTGTAATGGTTCATAATAGAATAGACAAACATTTATTCAAATTACATTGAAGCACTTTTGAATAGTCATCACATTTTTTTTAATCTACCGCTCATTCGGAAAGCTGTCTCATCACAAGAAGAACATGCAAGAAACTTGCGTGTTTCTTTACATCTTTAAGTTAAAGTATTTAATAACGATTGTTAGTGTTTGATGTGGACTAATGATTCTATTTATTGAAATCTGTTGCGACCAATTGTTCAATATTAATATTTCAATACTGACTATAGTCAAATGCTTTTATTAATTATTCATTTATATCTTACGATTACATGTAGTTTAGTGGGTAAGAATCCCTTCTTCCTTCTACCTTCTCCACACCACTCTGACGGGGGTATTGTTCCCCGTGTATGACACGAATTCGCGGATTCGTTTCATCTTTTATTTTACTTGGAAGAGGTTAAACGTCTAGACCACACAGGTCGTCTATCATCATTTGCTTCTTCCTTATTCTATTTAACGGTTCGGCGTAATATGTTTTTCTCTTTCATTCATCCCTGTTCGGACTCATTACTCTCGTTATTTACTCTCTTTCTTACCATATCATCTTTCACACTGTCCATCCATCTCTTCTCGGTCTTCGTCTGCCCTCTCACTTAGGCCTTCTAAATTTATAGTACATTAAAATAACCAATAATTTTATTCAAGTGTATTAAAGACCGTTATGATAAATTATCTACCAGAAAATTTTCTACATTTCCGGTAGATAATTTATCGAAAGTAGTTGTAGTTTAAAACTCTGCTCTAATTTCTTTTAAATGAGATTGTACATGATCTTTATATTACATAGAAAGAACAATAAACCTTTTATACAGATTATAATTTAAACATTATGTCTCTTCCTGAAAGACTGATTTAAAAAAAAGCTATTCCATTAATAATACAGTGTGTCGAAAACTTTGCTCTAATTCTATTTAAATTAGATTGTTCATGACTCTTATAATAAATAGATCGATAGAAAAGTCTTTTATACAGATTTCAATTGAAACATTACGTCACTTTCTAAAAGATTGCGATTTAAAAAAACCTATTCCATTAATAATACAGTTTGTAGAGTGTTAATATGGCGAATACATTAAAGACAGATGGAGTATACCTTCATATTCCAGCATTTTTTCATTAACCGCGGTCACTTTGGCCTTTTTCTGTATCAGTATATTTGCATAGCCTTTATAAAATCTGTTTGTACATACTGATGGGTATTAAATTTAATTACCTTCAGGTACTTAATGGAGCGCCCTTCAAAGCTTAATCCAGCATCAACTACAGTCACCAAGTCGGGATATGATGCAGCAATGAACACCAGATAGTCGTTCACCTACGTACAGAAATTCAGTGTTATATATTGCAGTTCTTCTCAATTGAAACTGCGTACAAAACTGAACGATAGGGAAAACAATATGAAAACAAAAATTTTGATGCGACTAAAATGTCCTCCATGATTTTTTATATTTGATTTCAGTTCATTTATGAATAAAGATATTTATTTGATTGATATAGATATTTCGTAACTAAAACCAATATATTTATAGCACACCTGGTGATGATAATAATAATAATAACCCTGGATAATTCACACAGCGCCATCAGACCAAGCTCAGCAGAGCTTGTGTTATGGGTACTAGACAACTGATGCCAATACTTAAAAGTGATATTTATTTTATTAGTTATAGGGTCTCTTTTCTGTATTACTGACTTCCCTTCTACTCAGAAATTATTATAAACACTAGCACTTTATCCATACGTTGTGTAAATTCCACATATTAACACCAAACGGTTCGCGTAGTCTTAACCAATACATACAGGCAAAGAGTGGAACACACTTCCAACTTTCGTCTTCCCGGAGAAATACAACTTCGGACTCTTCAAGTCTATTGTGAATAGATTTCTTCTAGGTAAGCGCGGCACATCCTAAATCTTGCTATCATTTACCATCACATCAGGCAAAACCAAGTCATTCTTAATAAAAATGAAATTGTTTTCTTTATTTGATAATTCATCATCTGCTTCTTCCTTATCCCATTTATTTGGAGTAAGGAAGAAGCAGATGATGGTCGGCGTAATATGTTTTTCTCTTCCATTCATCCCTGTTGTATCCTCTTTATCTGATAATAATTTCTTGAAAAAAAAAACACTTACCTCAGCATATCGGGGATAATCTTCGAACACCCTTCTCTCCTTTCGGGTTCTTCTCCACATTTCCATTTGTTCGTCATGTTTCTCGAATGCTCTACAAAAGTTATACTTTATAAGTACATCAATCAGAACTTACTCCGTGAAGTAATAATAAGAGCTATCGAAGAGTATCCTAGGTAAGTACCTGATCATACAGTGAGCGTCGTATGTTACTATGACTATGATAATAATTATCTAAATAGGTTAAAAAAAATAGCCCACGACAATGAACGTAGAGCCATAAAGTACGAAGCTGAAGCTTGTGTTATGGGCATTGGACAATTGATTTGAAATGCTTATACGTATGCTGTATGGTCACTTTATTCTCCCAAATTTGAATTTAAATTAATCTGTATATTGTAAACATGTACAACATTTATTTGAAAAGTATGCGAGCTGAGTTTCTTGTCAGTTTTTCTCATCTCGAAATCATTCCATAGATTTGACATATAAGAGTCTATAATAGACCTACATGAATAAAGATATTTTGAATTTGAATTGAATGTAACTAAATCTCAACTGACTTAACTCGCATTTTACAACAGTCTTGAAATGGTTTTATATCATCTGTTGTATAACATTAAAGTTCTCGGTAGTCTATCGATTTAGCATAGTGCTTTAATTGCAATAGTCGCGGATACGGTTCCTAGCACGCGTTTTATATTAGTATTCATGATTATGATTGTTTGTATAACTCTGGGTGTTTTTTATATATTATGTATGTATGTATTTACAAAAACTGTATTTGTATCAGTTGTCTTGTACTTATAGCACGAGCTTCGCTCAGCTTGGAACTAGATGGCGCTATGTAAATTGTCCAGGGATATGTTAATTACATACTTGGGAATATCGTCCAGGAACACTGAATGTGGTATTTGATGTCTATCTAATTCATTCAAAAATTCCACTTTATGTTCTGCGGAAACCATTACGATAGCATCTACGTTTCCAGGATGGCCATGCTGCCACTGATCCAAGTTTAAACTTGACTCCAAATCATGAAGTAGGTCCTGATCGGACCTATCCCGGAGTGATACTTTATGGGCGGTGTACCTGTAGAAAAAACGTAAATTACAATACACGTTAATAAATTACAATTACAATATAGCATGTTGATTTCATTAAAAAATATATATTTGTAAAATGATCAGAATGTGAAATGATGATGATGAAGATCCAGACTAATTGTAGATAAATGTATAGATAAAGCGATTTTTTTACATTTTACAAATTTTTTTTTAGCCCCATCTTACATTTTCTTACATTAGTAAGATAGGGCTAATAATTGTGCCCTGAAGTACACGTCTGTGTTATCTATACATATAAATAAAATTGGAGTATCTGTTTGTAATATTGAAATAATCGTTTTTTACTACATGCATATGAATATAAATACGGTACATACACTAAAATAACATTTTTTACAATTTTTGTCTGTCTGTTTGTTCCGGCTAATCTCTGAAATGGCTGGACCGATTTTGACGGGACTTTTTTTTGGCAGGTAGCTGATGTAATAAGGAGTAACTTAGGCTACTTTTATCTTAGAAAAAATCTTTTATTTTAGAAAACAATGTTAAATTACACGCGGACGAAGTCGCGGGAACAGCTAGGAAATACTATAATTATAAGTATTTGATGAATTAAAACTTTTTGTAATGGTTTTGAATATGTTCCATTTTCTATAAACTAAACTATAATCATAATTTCAAATCTAAACAATGGTTGTATCACAAAAACGGAATACAATATTTATCCCTTATCCCTATTATAGTAATGAGGTGTACCTCAGGGCACAATTATAAGCCCTATCTTACATTAGGCAAATAGTAAAAATCATTATGGATTTTATTTTTAATATCAGTTATATAATATATAAAAAATATTACCCAGTATAAATATCATGTTTTCCCGCGGTGACTATTCTAAAACACACTGAGATCACAATCGTCAATAAAACCATCGGACCCATGTTGACACTTCATCTGATACGATATATATGAATATAAAAGTAGACGAAATATTATACAATATTTTATCATTTATTGGATGCATCTTATCGTAAGAATTAAAAGAATATTGATCACTGTCTAATAGATAAAGAGCATCATAGTACATATAATCATAATGTGTAGGTAGTTTGTATTGAGTAAATTAAATGTTCTTTTACTAATGATTTATTTATTTAACTTTAATGCACAAAAACAATCTGTACATATGGCAAACCTAACAGCGTTATCTACCAGTCAACCATGAGTGGTGCAGAGAAAGATTGTTGGCGGTGCACTAATATAAATGAGAAATGTCAAAAAAAGATATATAAATATAAAGCAAAATATTTTAAATATAAACATAAATATATAAATAAATACATAATTATTCTAATGATGAGCTGACCCTTATAGCCTCATGGATCGAAAAAGGTACGCTAGTACAGTTCAAACTTATGGTAGGACTTAAGAATCGGTTGAAGGCCAACTCCTGCCTGACGGATAGGACGGATCGTCGGAGGGCACCGCTAGGAGTCCGAACGTCGTAACATCAATCGCTGCTTAAATGGTAAAAGGGAAGGCTATTAAATGGGAATAAAGTGAAAAAATAATAATTTAATAATGTTGCCCTCTACGATTTTGGGATTATCAGACGTAGACTTTGTACTTTGTACTAAAGATGTCACAAGATAACGTGTGTTTATGGCGCCTTTTATGTATCCATAACAAGAACGTCCTAGACACGTAGTATTATCTAACACAGCTTTGTATAGGATAATTGTCACAATTGATGGTTTTGTTGTTTGCCGTAGCGATTAGATAATAAAATGGGAAATAAACCCTACAGGGAGCAACGGTATTCGAGCACCTTTTTTTACATCTGGAAAAAGATTTCAAAGACAGTCACACCGCTGGAATGATAGCGGAGGCGGTGTGTGAGATTCTCCATAAAAATTACATGGTGTAACTGCGAGTGATTTTTACTAAAAATTAATGATGTACCAAGAATTAAAATATTTACCAATTAATGAGGTACAAGGCACCAAGAACGACGAGGATGCTAAAGCCTCAGGAATAGTCTGTACGACTGCTGAAGTCGTAGAGCTTTAGCTTTCTACCAAGTCTCCGGCGACTATTGTAGCGACTCCTGAATAGGTTTTTATATTATTTTTTAATTATGTAATCATTTTTTTGACATATTCTTTTTTGTTACATTCTATTATATCGCTGTCATATTATCCGCATTTTGTTTTATCTCCGTATTTTCTTTAATAAACCTCAGTCCTTAGTACCTCTCACTGATCAGACACATCAGATACCTCTGCTTCAATTATATAAGTACGTATATCAACACAAACATTCCATACTCTCATTACACAGTTATCATATTCACAATTATCATTCATTCAACACGGTGATTTGTAATCTAAATCCACTTAGATTAAGTATTAAAGGCTTTGCTTATCTGCTGTATCTATTTTAATGAGACTTTATATCAAACATAAAAACGAATGCCTGTACTGTTATTAAGATGTGTTTTGTTTACTATTTTGTTACTCAATATTTATTTATTTATGTCAAATTTGCATATTTGGCATTTTGTTTCCATAGAAAATTCTGAATAGCATATGACGCACTGCACGCTTTACGACCGATGGTCGCGGATTCGATTCCTCACACGGCACAAACATTTGTATTCAAGAGTATGATTGTTTGTATCGGTTTGGGTGTTTTCTATGTATAATATGTATGTATTTACAAAAAAAATCATCATCAATCATAAAAAGATTTAGCTAGCTTAACTTGGGTCTAGATGGCGCTGTGTGAATTGTCCTGAGATTATTATTATTATTAAAAGAGCAATAAGCAATTTTCTTGCTCATTCTTCTTTTGATGATACTGCGTTGAAAATGGTAGAATCAAAACATCTGTCTGATTCAATGCATTAAGTTTCTTTGAATAAATTTTACTTTCGGTTGTTTTATAGCGATCCATTCTTGTGATATTATCATTATACTTTAGTCCTTCAAGAGCATTCTTGAAAACCTTTTAGGGGTATAAAGTTTCTCCTATTTTAAATTAAACTACAATAATATTTACAAAGCAATGTATATGGACACATTATTTTTTTAATATTTTTGGGCATGTCGCAAGCATATAAATAAATTGGTCCGTGCAGAAACATGACCACAGTCATGAATTATTTTCAATGTCTCTTTATATTTATCTGTCCCATCACTACTAAAAATATTATCTCATCTAGTGCGGTTCAAGTCACCATCGGCTTGCAGCTTTCCTTGGTTTATTTCTCACTTACTGTTTGGTAGATCCTTGAGCGCATCCAACCCAAAGAAGTTGGCTTCAAGGTGATTCTAACAATACAAGAAGCATCATTAACAAAGTTACGGAAGGATCTGCCACGCATTGACGGAAATATCGTTGGACACACATTTCCACCCATCGCACCACCAGATCAAAGTTTATAATTTTCCTTGCCGCAGTCAAGGTGGTAAGTAACGAAATAGATATCCGCATAATAACACCTAATCCGATAAAATGAACTTGTCAAATTTTCAAACAGTTTAATTTTCAAACAGTTTCCAGTGAAGCTATTAATCAACATTCATTCAGGAGAGTGTCAGCACACCCAGTCCGGAGATTAATGGCTCATATGCGTGGCTCGCAAATCAACATGCTTCTAACATGCACTCACACAATGGACATTTGTGTTTGCTGCACAAATTGAAATAGAGGTAGCTTGGACACTGTTACATTCTGTGATGTAGATCACGTCGGGGTGACCATAAATATATATAAACTAGCTGTACCTGCAACTTCGTCCGCGTGTAATTCAACTTTATTTTTCTACAATAAAAGTAGCTTAAGTTACTCCACATTACATGAGCTGCTTACCAAAAAAAATCCCGTCAAAATCGGTCCAGCCATTTCAGAGATTTTCAGAAATTTCGAAACAAACAGACAGGCAGACAAAAATTGTAAAAAATGTTATTTTAGTCTATGTACCTTATTTATATTCATATACATGTAGTATAAAACGGTTATTTCAATATTACAAATAGACACTCCAATTTTATTTATCTTATACTATATATAAAATTCTCGTGTCACAATGTTAGTTACCATACTCCTTCTAAACGGCTTGACAGATTTTTATGAAATTTTATATGCATATTTAGTAGGTCTGAGAATCGGCTACTATCTATTTTTCATACGTGTTCTCACTTAAGGGTATGAAAGGTTGTTCACCCCTAACATTTATTTTTAATTTTTGGACATTCTATCACCAACCATTATATTTTAATAGCGATTTTAATTTATATGGTAAAAAAGCATTATCGGGGACAGCTACTATTTATGTTTAGATGTACACATTAAAAGAAATAAAGTAAATATATTTATTCTAAAACAGTTGCATATATTTACTACAGACAAAGCTGTTGATGCGAAGAGCCTGAAAATGTGGAGTGTGTAATATTCTTAATTTTTTTGAAGTAAATAATAATTCAGGCGAACTGAAAAATGAAGCATTTAAACATCTCAATTGTCCATAAAATTGTCTGAGGGTAATTCTCTTTCTGAATACGTTGAAATTAACTTCAAATAACGTCATTCATCATCTATGTCGCTATAATATCCTCAGGCGACGCTGTATTTTTGAGGGAACTTTCAGATTGTACTCTGGACGCGTTTAATCAAGATCTGTTATCTCTCTCCGGCGCATCGTTAACTGCATGCATTTGCGTCTCTCTCCCACCGCCGACGGAATTGGTCCAATTTAAAAAGTTTACTTGTTTTGTGATTGCTTTGATTTTTGCGCGCTGCTTTTCAAATTGCGTTTGAAAAGTTATATTCATTTATATTCATGTAAAATCTTATATATTTTACTTTATAGGGAATATTCTGGAAGAAAACACGTTAGGTCTGGTATTGCTTGGAATTAAATGCCAGCAGAAGCCTTCTGAACTGATATGATATAGAATTAATAATAATAATATTCTCAGGACAATTCACGCCGCCATCTAGACCCAAGTTAAGCTAGCTGAAGCTTGTGTTATGGGTACTAGATAACTGATACAAATACATAGATATTTTTTTTTTCGTAAATACATACTTATTATATACCAATATACATAGAAAACACCTAGACCGATACAAACAATCATACTCATGAATACAAAATGTTTGTGCCGTGCGAGAAATCGAACCCGCGACCATTGGATGTAAAGCGGTGTGCTAGACCGCTATACCACCGAGGTCGTCCCAAGAATTATGCACTTATAAATAAATTAAATTATCTTAGATAAGGTAGTCAGAGGATTTATCAGCTGCCGACGTTTCTCATAAAAATGGTAAACGCTATACTTGACATTTATTTTATTTCTTTGACGGATAACCTCTACAAGGCTTCAATGAAAAGATGACGAAGCAGACCACTAACCACCTGGCTAATGTTCAAGAGGACATGAAGGAGTTGGGCCTGTCAAATGACGATGCTTACCAGCGAAATGCATAGCGCCTCAAGATTAGGAAAGTGGACGCAGTGTAACGAAAAGTGGCCATGATAAGGAAGAAGAAAAAGAAGGAGAACAGAATTCAGACGAAGTAACGCTAGACCCGCTATAGTGTATAATATAGGATTTGCTCCATTCCTCAAACTCTCACATCGAGGTCAATAAACACTGCGCCTGTATTGGTGAAACTCAATTTGTCGGCCCATTAGCTCGTTCACATGAATTACTTAGGATCGATTGCGGCAAGTTTACGAGCTTACGGCAACCACTCTGGTTATCCGTACATTGTGGAACTTTTTTTAACTATTCCAATAAATAATAATTTTAATTTGTTTTTAATTAATTCTTATTTTTTTATACTAAATATGCTGGTATAATATAAACAGGCATACGGTCCATCTGATGGTAAAGGATTATCC